CACAGCCTGATGGTAACTCCTTGTGGGCGTGGCCTTCTCATAAGGAGGGTCCTGGGAACCTCTGCCCCACCCTCTCTTTGCCTTTACCTTCCTGCTGGTAAGCCACTCTGAGACCTGCCAGAGCCCTGAGATGGAGCCACCACCACTTTGCACCCACCGGCGTGTGACCCTCCTGCACTCTGCATCACGGCATGTGGCTGCGTGAGTCTGCAGAGGGACTGATGGTCGTCACTTGGACTGGGCTGGGATGTTTTCCTGAGACACAATGCTCGATATGAAGCTCTTCCTTACACATCGATGAGTGTCACTGGATTTGTTTCTCTCGTCTAGAGTTACAGTCTCGGAAACTACCCTGGCCTCCAGGGCAAAGGCCTTAGCAGGAGTTACCATGGAAGAAACACCACATTCCAGAAAGGTAGGTGAGTCAACAGGAAAAGTCCCACCTCTTCCCCTTAAAACAAGGAGCCACCTTTACCCGCCTATCAGCTGAGCAAACCATGCCCAGGTTCTCGACAGCACACCTGCCTCTTCCGGCCTGTGTGGGGCTTTGTGGTTACCTCCGTCCACCTGGTGCTGACTCAACCGCCCCCCGCCCCCCCCCCCCCCCCCCCGCCCCCCCGCCACACACGCACACAGGCGTGGAGCTCTGCCTGGTCTGGCGCCACCCCGAAGCCCCAGCCCGCTCCATGGTTGGGGCCACGGTGTATTCCAAGTGCCTCCTTGCTCAGGGTCTTCGCCTTGTCTTCTGCTGTGCTCCACTGGGTTCTGGAAGCAGTTCCCCACGACGTTCCCCTGCCCATCTTCGTCGGGGAGTGGGTGGACACTCGTGGTACTGTGGTGGCCGTCAGGGGTTAGGCAGAGAAAATCTGAGCCCCTATCTGGCATGGCTCGGGAGGAGGGGTGAAGGTAATGGGAGGCCGGCAGCCCCCAACTTGGTGACCCAGCAAGTCTGTGGTGTGGACCCCCAGGTAGAGCTGCCAGACTTCACAAATACACGACCAGGTTGCGTTTGAACTCTAAAGAAACAAGGGATAGATTTTCTAGGACACGCATGCCCTCTTCATTGCTAACTTGGAATTTAAAGTCTGTGGGGCAGCCTGTATTTTGTTTCTTTAGAGCCTTAGGGGCTCAGAAGGGCCTGGGTCCCGGTGGCAGGCGTGGGGACTACCAGCTTAGCCTGACCCTTCAGAGAGATCTGGGGCCACAGGGCATTGAGGGGTGGTGGACAGGCCACAGCTGGGAACCAACTTTGTGGCCCTAAGGCCTGGCTGTTGGCAGTTCCTGGAAGGGGTGCAGCTACCCTGCACCTCCCGACAGCTCTAGACTAGAGGGGGCCCTGTGGAGGGTTATAGAGAAGTGGGGGACCTGAATGTCTGTCTGGCTCCCTAGAAACAGCCGTATCCACAGGCTGTTGACACTGCCCCTCAGAACTACACTTCACCTTGGCCAGAAAGAGAGGGCCGTGGTGCGCCTGCTGACCTCCTTCTGAAAATCAAAACAAAACAAAACAATCGAAGCTTGGCTCTCTATGAAGCACAGTGCTACTCTGCCCCAGGAGGTCCCCGGGAGTTGTACTCTGCTCGGTGGCTGCACGTGTGCGCATGCGTTTGTTATTGTCATGCTGCCAGGCTGTGGGCAGGCAGAGGCGTGGGAGGACCTGGTTCCACGCAGACCAAGCAGGCAAGGTTCTCGGGGTTCACTCGAGCATGGTGGGGCCATTGTGTGGTATGGCCACCTTCTCCGGGGACCTGTGTTTGCAGAGCGGCCAGCTTAGGGGACACTCTGGGGCAGTCTGAGTGCCACATGGGATCCAAGCGCCACCTGAGACCCTGAGTTAGTTAGTTTATTGTGCCAACCTGGC